CTGTCGGCCACCAGGTCCCGCAGGTGCTTGGGCACCTCGCCCGACGGAGAGGACAGCGCCACGCGCTCCGAGTGCGGCTCCTCCTGGCGGAGGGGCGGGCCTTCTTGTCTGGTCGTTCCTTGCTTGCCTGCCGTGCTCCTGTACTTCTGCTGCTATGACGTGCTCCATTGGCATTTGCTTGCTGCTTCGATGTCAAACCTATACGCTATTGGTAGCTCTCCGTGGGGGGGGGGCCTCGTGGGCGCCCCGCCGCACGCCGCCACAGAGGGGGGCGCCGAAGGAATCTTCCAGGGGCGACGCCGGGAGGCCGCCGGCCGGCCGGGCCGACGGCCGCCGAGGGGGGGGGGCGGAGGCTCCCTCGTCGCTGCTCCCCCCCCCGTCGCTGCCCTGCCTTTGCAGGGCAGTTTTTGATGCATGGGATCTTTAACCATGTAGGATTTCTGATACATGATTCATGTATGAATAGATGTATGCATGAGCTCGTCGTGGTTGTTAGTACTGAGTCCCTGCATGTACTACAAACGGCACTGTACGCAGAAGGCATCTGTGCATCACCACCGTGCCTGGCCGGGGCCATCCTGGGCCCCAGGGCGGTGCGTGCGCCCTCCCGGCCGAGGCCAGGAGGGTCTGTGCACCATCCCGGGGCCCAGGACGGCCCTGGCCTGGCACGGTGGTGGTGTCTAGATGCCTTCGTCGGATGCTTTCCAATCCTTGCCGACCTCAGCCATAGAAGAAAAATAAGAAGAGTAGACGAAGAAGGAGGAGTATCCGCCGACCCCTCGTGGGTCTCTAGGCGTGTGAGATAGTTCCCCCCCCTATAGTCCCCCCCCCGGGACCCCAAACCGGCGATTTGACCCCCCCCCCCCGGGCCTGGGACGAACGCCCCCGGGCCCGGGACGAGCGCCCCCCCCGGGCCCGGGACGAGCGCCGCCGGGGCTTTTCCGGGCCCCAGGAAGCCTCAAGACGGGCCAAGATGGCCCCAAGAGGCCTTCAAGACGGCCCACGGGAGCCCCGAGACGCCAAACGAGCGCTCCCAGACGGCCAAGATGGCTCAAAGACGGGCTAAGAGGCCTCCAAGACGGCCCAAGAGGTCCCCAAGAGGCCCCAAGAGGCCTCCAAGATGCGTCCCACGAGGGTCCCTAGATGCAAAAATTCGCCCATTCCCTTCGTAAAACGTACATTTTTCACGAATTCGCTTTTTGGGCTTTCCGACGCTCCCAGACGGCCCAAGAGGCCCTAAATACCGCCCCAAGACGGTCCAAGCAGCCTCCAGGGAAGCTCCAAGGCAGCCCAAGAGAGCCCCAAGACAGCCCAAGAAACGCCCAAGATTGCCCAAGAGGGCCCCGAAGACGGCCCCAAGAGCGCTCCAGGAGCGCTTCAAGTGGCCTCCAAGAGAGCTCAATATGGTCACAGACGGTCGAAGAGCGATCAAAGACACCGACGATCGCCTCCAGACGGCCCAAGACGGCCCCAAGAAGCCCCAAGAGGCCTCCAAGATGCGTCCCAGGAGGGCCCCCAGAGGCCGCCAGAGGCCCCCAAGAGGCCGCCAAGACGCCCCAAGGAGCCCCCAAGAGCCCCCCAGGAGGCCTCCAAAAGACCCCCAGACGCTTCCGCATTGCGAGCCGTCAAGCCAACTGCAATGCACTCCGCGCATGCAGCCTTGCTTTTCCTCGCGACGTGCTCACAATCTTGCTCGGCGCGAATGTGCTGCTGCTACGCGAACTGTTTCGTGCGCGCTGCGAACGTCAACAGCCTCTTCACCCGTTTCGACTCATCTGCCACATCTTTCGCGGTGATGCTTCGCTGATCACAGCAAACATTTGGACCCCCTACGTATCTGCCACCACCCGCGCGCGACACCGCACCCTCACACAAGACGCCGCTGGCCAGAAACTCCTGGTCTCGCAACAGTCACAGAAGGGGTCGGCGGATGTGGCGTAAGCCTGTAGAATCGAAGAATATGTATATACATGTATATACATACATACATACATACATACATACATACATACATACATACATACATACATACATACATACAAAACAAAAAAAGGAGGCGTATCGAAGAGCACCGAAGAAAAAAAAGAAAACGCCATAAGCATTAACTTCTGGCGCTTCGCGCGGACTGCTTGGAGCCGCGCTGGGCCCCGCAGGCCGCGCCTCCGGCGCCGCCCCTGGTAGACGGAGCGCGCCAGGGAGGGGGGGCCCAGCGCAGATCTCCAAAAAATCCTCGCGGAGCGCTAAGAATTCACGTTTATGCAGCTTGTTATTCTTCCAATCCTTATCCTCGGCACCCCTCACGCTCCCTCCCCAAGCACTAGCTGCCCGAATCGCTCCATGGCGCTGTCTGGAGGCATGTTTTTGTGTATGGCCAGCATTCGCAGCCGTGCGGTGCATCTCTTGAGTTTGAGATGCATGTGGCCACATGTGAGCGTTCATACATCAGCACCCGTGAACGCATGGTGGTCGCAAGCGTAAGCGCACCCACGGGGACCGGACATGAATATACACACGTTTGCCCACCCAGGGCTCGAATTTATCCACATCCACCGCCTGCCGAAGACCCAAAGACCGATCCCCCGAGCGGCGGTCATGAAACAACCCACGCCTCGAACCGACGCCCCCGTTTCCATCGCCCAGGCGTCCACGAGCCGCGCGAGCGCCCAGCACAGGCCCATCAGCGCCCCGATCGTGGGCCTGTCCAGGCCAGCTGGACCAGCCGCCTCGTCGCAGGCACCCGGCAGGAGGTCCCGCAGCCCCAGCGAGGGCTGCACCTTGACCTGCAGCCTGTGCGGCGAGCGCTCGCAGGCGAGCTTGTAGACGCCGCCCTGGCCACTGATGTCCTCCCAGCGGCGCGCCCCGGGGCGGCGGAGGCGGAGGCGGCGGCGGATGCGGAGGCGGCGGCGGAGGCGGAGGCGGAGGCGGCGGCGGAGGCGGCGGCGGAGGCGGAGGCAGGGGCGGAGGCGGAGGCGGCGGCGGAGGTGGAGGCGGCGGCAGAAGGGGCGGGCCTTCGCAGAAGGCTCAGAGGGCCTCTGGCCTGCTCGGAGGAACCTCCTAAGCCTGCTCCGCAACCCCGCCGCCTTCTGGGCAGGCCTGCCACTCTCACTGCCCCCCCTCGGCGCGCCGGCGATCCTCGGGCCTCAGGCCGTACGTGTGCGCAGCCGCGCTGCGGGACTCCACGCGGACCTGCAGCGCCGTGAAGGTGCGCACGCAAAAGTACAGCTGCACGTCGCCTGGGGGCCGCTCCGCTGCCTCCCCGCCCCAGTCGGCGAAAAAACACGATGACCCTCGGGGCCGAAGACTCGAGAGAATCGCGCCGAGGTTTTTCGCAATTTCTAACGTTTACGTACGGCCCTTTTCAAGAATGTGGTCAACGGGATACAACACGGCTTTTGACACCGGCGAGAACCTGGGCTATCCGGGGGGGCAGCCGATAACCGAACCTTCGCGCTGTGCGCAGCCCCGCGTGACCGTGAAAGGTCTCTAGACCCCCCAAAACTGGAACCTAACGATTTGTTCGGCGACCCTACAAAAAAAGAACGCCCAACAATACACAAGTCTTTGTTGTGAAGACGGCGTTTACGACTACGACTAAGACACCGACTACAACTGCGACTATAACCACGCCGACGAGTACGACTACAATCAAGACTATAATCACGATTACACACAATCATTGATTACAATTGCAATATTCATGGAAACATGCTCACAAAGCCTCTTGCGTGTAGGGTCGCCCACAACGAATTATTCCCAGGGACAAAGATAATTCAAACATAAAGGAAAATATCCACCGCGACGACGAGGAGCAGGAGGTGCAGGAGGACGAGGAGGAGCAGGAGGAAGGTGAAAAACCGGGCCGCTCTCCTCTGACAGCTCGTTTCTGTCAACGCAAACCATATTGTGCCACGGCCATTTCGTCTTTGAACGTGCGGACGAAGGCACAAGAATCCCCCCAAAAAATACAGTGAACGAGTTGAAAACTGTGTGAAATTAAGACACCCCAGGAGTAGAGACATTGGGCTGGCACAGGGAGGCGAGTGAGGGGTTTGACCCGCGCGTTGCGGTCCAGCCCCCCTCCTTCACGCGCACGCACCCCCAGGAAGGGGAAAAGCTGGGCCGCTCTCCTCTGACGGCTCTCGTTTGTCAACGCAAACCAGATTGTGCCGCGGCCGCTTCGTTTTTGAGCGTGCGGACGAAGGCATAAGAGCCCCAATAAGAGATACAGCGGACGAACTGAGAACATTCTGAAATTCAGACACTCCAAGCCTCCCGATCCGACGGTGAAGTGCAATTGTCAAGTGTTATAATCGCTGCGAGCTTCCGCGACCAATATGGAAACGAGCACGTGAGCAAGCCGAGCGGGGTAGGGCATTGCCAAGAACGTCCAGCGAATTCCACTTGGCCCTGCTCCTTCCAGGCTCTGGCGCGGGCGGCCCGTGCAGCTACAGACTCCTCGTCCAGAGTAGACTCGATTGAGCCTGGTCAGATCATCGAGACAAGCGTTGCCGACTAAAAAACGAATCCTGTTCCGCCACGGTTTCCCCCATCGACAAAAACCAGTTGCAATCGAGTGAGCGCGACTGCGTGCCATAAAAAACTTTTGTGATCGTACCCCATGTTGAAGCGTCGGGGTTCACGAGAACCCAAGGAACCCCGGCAGTCTGGGCAGCGCGGGCCAGATCGAGAGCTGCGTCCAGCGTGGCGCGACCGAAAGCGATCTTGGCCTGGTCGCTGGCCTTCAAGGCCAAGAGCTTCCGAGACCGCATTGGACATGTTCGATGTCGAGCGGCAGACCGCGAGCTGCAGGGGGGGGCGAGCATCATGCCGACGCACTGGTCGCGAACAAGGTCCTGTTTGATCGGCCTGCGAACCCTTGGATCGCAGAGGCCCCCTGAGGCCCCGTGGAGCAGGCCCACCTCACGTACGCAAAAATCGGCCAAATGGATTTTCTTGATCACCACCCCGCAACCCGAGGAACAAACAAAAAGAGGGCTATATATGACTTGTTCACACATGCTGGCGACCAACATCTAGAGGGGCACGCCTGCTTCGGAACGCATCCGCGAGCAACGACTCGCAACGAATGCAGTGGCTCCGGGTCAAGGCATCTAACTTCCCGAACTCCAGACCCACGCGAGCATGCTTTTCCTCACGGGCAACTGACTTCAGCTTCCGCCATCGGCCCCTCTTCATCACATCTGGCAGGCCGCGGAGATTCCTGAGCCTGTCGTGGGAGGCTCCGCTGTGTCGGGGATGGTGGGGCACCAGCTTGACGAGCGCGGCGCCGGCGGCCTGCGCGTCGGCCAGCGGGCCCTGGCGGGGGAACGGGAACGCCCGCTCCGCCGCTGCCCTCGAGTTGAACCCCCGCCAGACCACGTCGAGCCACTTGAGCGAGGCCATGCCCAGCTGGAGGCCGTCGTCGAGCGCGCCAACCTTGGTCGGGATGCCCAGCCCCTCCGGCGCGAGCATCAGGCCCCAGCGTCGGGAGAGCCCCCCCCCCTCACTGGGTCAACGAAATGCCCGCACCTCACGCCGATCACCTCCGACGGCCTCAGGTAGCACGTGAAACTGAATATGACCGCAGCCGCCTCGCGGCGCTCGCCTCGCCCGATCACCCAGCGACGCGCCGCCGCCCACGCGCAGGACGGCATCGGGTGCCGACCCATCCCAGGGCAGTCGCCGCCACCCCATCACCGTTCGTCTCGACCGCGGGAGGGAGAGCCGGCCAACCTTCCCAAACTCTGGGAGGACGTGGAGGACCCCAGCCAGCAACTTCCCCCCCACGTCCGCCTGCCGCCCAGAGAGGAACATCTCCGCCACGTGGACGCACAGCCCCCCATCCAACTGTCTCGGCGGGCGCGGGCCGGGGGTTCATCCAGCGCTGCATTCGCCCAGTTGTAGAGCCGAGAGACCAGGAGGCGGTAGAAGTCCCCGGCATTCGGCTGAACCGCCCCCGCCTCGACGGGGCGCCCAGCTGGCCCGCGGCGCGTCAAGCGCTGACTAGATGCTTGGTGCGTCTTCGCTTGCACCGCGCCATCGCGGCGTCGCCCAGGTCGTCGCTGTCCGAGCTCTCCGCCGCGGCCGCCAGCGCGCCGCTGCCCGGGTCGCTGTCGGCCTCCACGCAGACGGCGGTGACCGGGGGCCCTGTCGCGGCCTCCTCCACCGACAGGCCCTCCAACTTCGGCGCCGGTCGCTTACGGGGCGGCGCCGGGGCCGACGCCCCCAGTCCGCTTCGGCGCCGCTGCGGGCGGCGGCCGCGGCGGCGGCGGGCTTGGCGGCCCGCGCCGCCGGGGGCGAGCACCTGCCGGCCTCGCGGCCGCGGGCGGGGCCTTACGGGCGCGCCGCCCCGCTGCCACCGCTCGCCCAGCCGCCGTCGGGCCTCGGCCGCGGCTCGCCCCCGTCGGCGCCCCGCGACGGGGCGCCGGCCGGTCTGAACTCCGCTTTGACCCAGGGGAAGTACGGACGAATATGCTTAATAAGACACAGGGCGCGAACGCGTCGGGTCTGCTGGCGCACAACGCAGCCATTGCATCTTCTCCGAGCGAAAGAGAAAGCAACGGCCAGATTGTCAATCGGGAGCAGGACTCGGCCGCGTCGAACCCCTGCGGCGAGCGACGAGACCCCCTGCCCTAAACCAACGCACTCCAGGATGCGTTCCTCGAACTTCCACTTACTATTTCCAGCGACTCTCCTAGGTGATATCAAAAATCGTTCTCGGACACGCTGCCCCGGGCCGAGAAGAGGCCCCCCTCCCCCCACGGCACCTCAGGAAACAGGCTGTCGATCACCCAGACCGCCTCCCCCAACTGCGACGGCATGGCCCCCCTGTCGACGATGTTGATGGTGTCGGAGAACGGAGGCGGATGATGATTCCCCCCGCCATCGCTTCACGCATACAGCGCTGCGCCCGCTGTCTCGCGAGCCCCATGGCAGCGCGCACGACGGAACCAAGGCGCTTCTGAGGCACGAGCGATGCTAGCCACTGACGTTTTGGCCGTCAACGAGCAACCCCTATCCCTCGAGGGAACCATCCGCGGCCACCACCGTCTCACACCAGGTCAAATCCCACGGCGCCCGCACCTGGGGAACCATGCCCATGAAGGACTGGAGCCCCCACCGCACGGTCGGCCACGCGATGGCCGCGGCGTCGCCGCAGCGATGGATGACGGCGCAACGGGCGTTGAATGCACTCGGGGCCGCCCGATCCTGCAGGCCCACGAAGGCGGCGTGGCCGACGAGCCACTCCAGCAGCTTGCCATTGAGACGGCGGCGTCGGAGGGCCCAACGAAAAGCCCCGTCAATCCGCCACCGCCGCTTTCGGTCACCTGCGTCTCGAGCCGGTGGCCGCGCAGCGCGCAGCCTAGCGCCTCGCCTCCGCCCGCCGACAACTCGCGCCCGTGCGTCTTCAGGCCGACCGCCCCCAGGGCCGCGCAGCCAGCGCCGAGCGCCGGCCGCGCGGGGGGCTCGGCGCCGCCGATGACGTCGAGGTCGTCAGCGCACAAGGCGCGCCGCACCTCGGCCCCCTTCCGCAGCGCGATCGGCTCGGCGTGGTCCGCAATCCCCCCGCTGGGCCCCAGCTGGCGCACCCTGTCCAGGACCGCCTCGCCGCGCCCCCGGGCGATCTACAGCGGCCGGGTGGACCCCGCGGGGAAGGGGGCCAGGCAGGGGCACACGGGGCCCTCACGAGCCGCGGCGCCCCGCAGCGGCGCGCACTTCGCTGGGGTCGGCAGCGGGGCGCAGCGCCGGCGCACGCCGTCGGGAAGCCGCAAGCGACGGCAACTGTTCTCCACGTCGCCGACCCCCAGCGTGAAGCAATAATCATGGCCGCCCCCAAGGGCAGGCTCGCACTCGATCCTGGACAGCCCTCCACTCGCGATCAGGTCGGCGCGAGGAGGGGCCTTGAGCCGACGGCCCCTCCTCCTCGCGTCGATGATGAGCCTCGGGGACTTGCATTTCTTGTTTACGAAAAACAGGCCAGCGTGCTCGATGGGCTCGGTGGATCACCTGATCGCGCCCCGTCGGTTGAGGCCCAGGATGAACCGCCGGTAGATCTCGCGGTCGCTCGACAGCTTGCTGTCCCAGAACGGTTTGATACCCTCTGGCGTCTCGCTAAGCCTCACGGACTCATCGGTGGGCCGCGTCGTGCTCCTCTACCAGCCCTCGATGATCAGGCGGCCCTCAGCGCCCAGCACCTCCGTCGCGTCTGCTGCGCCATGGGCGCGCTCGGGGAACGAGGCGGATCCAAACCCGCAAGGCGCGACGGCGGCGCGGGTCTCCCCCGCGTCGCAGGCGACCTCGGACCAGAACATTGGCGGCTTCTTCCTGGGAAGGCGCTGTCACCGGCTTCGCGAGGACAAGGGCGACGAGGGTCGCCGCGGCCTCCTCTTCGAATTCACAAACGCCCGGGGTCGCCGATTCCCGCGCGCCCAGGCGCCAGTGGCCCGCATCCGAGGTCTCGCTCTTGCGCCTCAACTCGTCCGCGCCCAGCCCGCGCCGGCGTCGGGCTCGGCGAGAGCTAGGCGGGCCCCAGCCCGGCCGGGATATCGTAGGCGGGCGAGCGCCGACGCACCCCCGTGCACACCTGGAAATAGCGGCGGGCGCCGGCCCAGCCCCCCCGCCGCGCACCTTGCTCACGTGGCCGGCGGGGGCGCGGCGAGCTCGGCCTTGGACTTTGCCTTCGCCTTGCCTGATCCGCGACCCCCGCCGCCCTTGCTGCCGCTTGCCGCTGGCGCCGAGCCGGCCGCGCCTGCCTGCGTCGTCGTCGTCGCCGTCCTCCGCGCGCATCATGGTCAGGCTGCCGCCGTGCGCGCTGCCCCCCAGCGCCTTCTCCGCGTGCCTCTTGGCGCCGTGGGCCTGGAGGTCGGGGGCTGCTGCGTCTCCCGGCATCGCGGTGCCAGATCGCGCGCCGGCCATGGAGTAGTTCGGCTGCGCTCTAGGCACGGCGCGCGCTTCGACGATGGCCCGGAACCAGCACCTCGATCCTGGCCAGGCGCGGCGCGTTCGCCTGGTCGTAGCAGCCGAACATCTCGAAGCTTTCGGCGAGCACCCGCAGCTCGTGGAAGGCGCGGTCGGACAGGGCGACGCGCCGCGCCCGCGCCTCCAGCCGCGACGTCGGCATAGGCCCAACGCAGTCGACGCGCCCCATCACGCGGAGGGCGGCGCGCGGGCCATCGAGAGGCCAGCCCCGGAAGGGGTGCGCGACTTGCGCGACCCCTTTCAGGTCTTGCGTCGCTCACCTTCGGCATCCCAGTCGACCTCGAGCGCGCGGGCGTCGGGGGGGGGCGCCGTCGCCGCCGGCGGGGGGCGCTGCCGCTACAGGCGGAGGCCGCTCCACGAGCAGGCCCCCCTCGCCCAGCGCGTCGACCTCGCGGCCGCCTGCCCCCCGTCGGAAGGCGGCGACTGGGTCGGCGTCGAGCGCGAGGGCAGCTCCAGACGGCGCCCGCGGCGTCGGCGGCGCAAACAGCGCCGACCTCTGGCTCCTGAGGTCCTCCTCGCTGAACTCCGCGTCGACGGCGATTGCAGGCACCTGTATGCCTGCGTCCGACGCCGCCGCCCCGAAGACGCGGCGAGCGAAGGCCGAGGTGCGACGATGCTGCCCATCTCCCCGAAGGCCAGGCCAGACTCGGCCACGCGCCAAACCTTCGCGGTTGACTGGCCCGCTCCAACTCCGGCCACAGCGTCGGCCAGGATGTCGAACCGCATGTCCACGCCATGCCCCGCGCGCGCCCGCGCCGCTGCAGGCGGCGCCTCGGGCGGGCCCCGGCACTGGCAGCGCCCCGCGGCCCAGGGCCCGCCGCGGCCGAGGCGCCGCCTCGAGCGTGCCTCCGCTGGTGATCCAGCGGGTCGGCGGCGGCCCGTTGGGCAGACCCTGGGCCCGACGGGGCCCGTCGGCGTGGCACTGAGCTGTGGCCATCAGGTCCAAGAGCTCCTTCCGCTGGACCGGGCCACCGAACTGCATGATGCTGTCCGCCTCGAGCACGGCGAGTCGCTACGCTGGAGACTTGACGAGCACCACTTTCTCGTATAGTGTGGCATCCTATCCGTAGAAGTCGCCACGAGGTGCATACACCAACCAACACGACGCGGACAGCGGCCAGATGAGCACTCGCTCGTGGCCCCAGGCGCCACCCTCGAAGAACACCACGAACATCTGCTCTGGCAAGGGCGTAGTGCGCTCGACGATGGCCATATTCCCACGGCGCGGAATGGCAGCCGCAGGACGTCAGCAGACCACTCACGAAAGTCACTGTCGTGCCAAGCCCGTCGCAAGCAACTGATCAGCGTGGCCTCCTCCAGCACCAGCTCGGCCTCGATCACCCTCGCAGGCTCACACTTTCGTTCCCACGGCGGTCCTGCGATTTCCTCGCACCTTTTCGGGTGCCGAGCACGGGGTACACAGCTCACACTCGCAGGCCCGTTCGATCTCCTCCTCGCACCTCTCGGGTGCTGGACAAGGCGCACACGATTCGCACTCGCAGGGACGGCCGACCTCCTCCTCGCACCGCAAGGGTGCTGAGCAAAGGGGTGCACGGCTCACCCTCCTGGGGATAGCCGACGAGCCCCGCCCCCTCGCCGGCCTCTCGGCAGGCGGGCCGCGGCCAGCGGCTCCGCGCCGAGTCAGGCGCGAACTCGGCCAGCCACAGCCCGCGCTCCACGGCGAGCCCAGGTCGCACCTGGGCGAGCCTCCGGAGACCAGCCAGTTATGGCGCAGCGAGGAGGGCCAGGGCACAGGGGCGGGCATGAGCGCCTGCCTTCAGGCGAGTGAGGGGTTTGAGCCGCGTGTTGCGGTCTAGCCCCCTCCTTCGCGCGCACGCACCCCCAGGAGGACGAGCACAACGAGAAGGAGGAGGAGGACGAGGAGGAGGAGAAGGAAGAGAGGAGCAGCAGGAGGAAGAGAAGGGAGGAGTTTCAATCCCCGCCGAAAGAAAAAGGGGGAAAGAGGAAGAAGCTAAAGACCTTTGACAGTCATGCCTGTGCGCACCAGTGCTGCGGCCCCTACAGCTGCTAACGATGATGCGACGATGCGACTATTCTTAAGTCGGGCATGTCCTCCTACAGGCGGATTTTGGACACATAGAATATGGTCAAACGCATACTCAAAAATGGTCAGGCTATGTCTGGACTATTTTTGTATGTTTCTCCTGTAAGGCAACAGGCCCGGCTTCAGACGATTCGTGCTGCGACGAGGCGGGCGCCGCGTCTGGAAAACTCCACCGACAGGGTGCGGTTATCCGGCGGGGGGGAGAAGGGCGAGCCCGATAGACCCCGGGTGATGGCCGGACCCGGGTGTTGGCCGGACCCCCGTCGCGGCTGCTGCTCCCGCCGCTCATGCTCCCGCCGCTGCCAGGATTACGCTTGCCCCCCGCACTTCCCCTCAACCCGCCAAGCGATTCACTCGACTAGAGGGATCGGCTACAGAATCGATTTGCCCCCAGATTAGCTTCACCGTAGACACAGCGAAAAAAACACACAGAATGTTCGAGTAGATCTGCTGAACTTCCTGCGCACGTTTCGTAGATTTGGATCAAGTTTGGGGTAAGACAATTCTGTAGTCGATCGCCTGTTCGATTCATGGGGGGAAACGAATAACACCGATACCGCTACTCCGGACCTCGCCCAAGGTGCGCTCTGACCAAGCTTCCATGGCGGATCCGGCCGTGGCGGCGAGGGCCTCCCAGGAGGCCCAGCAAGGGGGGAACAGGCACAGGGTAGCAGTATGGGTACCTCTCTTCCTCCTCTGAGGAAACCTTTAACAATCAGAACGATCACCCAAGAAACGTCGACGTCCGTCAGGAAGCTGTTTCTGGGCCCCGTGGTCATCACATTTTCTGCATCTGCGGCGGAGGGACGCCCGCGCCGCGGTCGAAGCGGCAACTGGGCTGCGGGGGCGCAAACTACGGGGACCGTCAGGACACGATTCGGGATGGGACGCACAGGGAAGCACCAATACGATGCGTCCTCCTTCGAGGCGCGCGCCCGACCCGAAAATACAAGAGGGCCATCTTGTCACGGATCGTGCCCCGAGCGGTATGGCCAGAGAGCGCCCGCCACCGAGCATGCGGCATGCGATTTCTCGGCCCGCGCGCGTCGCCTCTTTTTGGCGACGCACACGTCATGTCGGTCTGTGTCGGGTGACGCCCACAAGATGACGAGCGAGTCCCGGGGAAGGCGCCGCTGAGAAGACCAGGGGCCCGCGTCGCAAGACCGTGACGTCGGACGGGGGGGCGAGGAAGCGAGGGAGACGCGGGTTGAGGAGGGTGAGGCGGAAGAAACTTCGATACTTCTCGCTGTTACTGGGCGAATGTATAAAATAGCGGCCGCCGTCGAACGGAACTGCAATGAAGCGACCATTGCAACTGCGGGGGTAACTTGCACTGCGTAAGTTCTCCGTTGCTGTATTATTGAGTCTGACGGCATCCAGCTGAGACCCTCGCCAGAGCCGTGGAAGCGCAGTCAGACCGCTTGGGTTGCAAAAGAATCGGAGTTCCTTCAAACATAGATTGCGGCATTCTCAAGACCCTGAGCGAGGTAACCCCGACGTACTCTAGGGATTGTCGGGAAACTGGGTCCCACGGCATGATATGATGCACATGCGGGTGGTGTGTGTGCGCGTGTGTGATATCACTGTGTTCGTCCGCCAGCCCTGCCTCCTCATCCGCTTCACTCTCGCCCCTGTGCGGAGCCGAAGCCACGCCCCGTGAGCTATCGATGCGATTCGCTGCCCCAACAAATCGGCCCAAAGGGACAGGTCTGGGGACCCACATGCAGTGCATGGTCCACTACCGCGCTTGCGTGTCGTCTCTCGCACCGTACCCATCGGTCGGAAGAAGTCGGTAGAACCATGAAGCAGGAAGGCGTTGAAAGCAGAGTGGGCGCCCGCCCGACCCCTAACGAGGACGGGCAAGGTGAAGCCACTCGAGCATTGAAGTGGGAGGGCGCTTTTAAAACAGGCTGGAGTCTGGGAAGCCCGGCATACCTAAAGCTCCACCACCGACGGGTGTGTTTTCTTGCGTGATGGGACCATCTGACCCAAGCCGTGCCCCTCCTCGCGCGGACCTAGGGACGAGGTCTCTCCGCGGTTCTGTGGGCTGTGGCCCTCTCGGCCCCTCTGGGGTGTGTTGCTCCTCCTCCTCCTCCTCCTCCTCATCATCATCCTCCTCCTCTTCCTCCGCCTCCGCCTCCGCCTCCGCCTCCGCACCCACCTCCTCCTCAACCGCCTCCTCCTCCTCCGCCTCCGCATCCGCCTCCGCCTCCGCCACCGCCTCCACCTCCGCCTCCGCCTCCGCCTCCTCCTCGTCCCTCCTCCCTCCTCCTCCTCCTCCTCCTCCTCCCTCCTCCTCCTCCTCCTCCTCCTCCTCCTCCTCCCTCCTCCTCCCTCCGCTCCTCTTCCTCCTCCGCCTCCTCCTCATCCGTTTTCTCCTCGTTTCCTCCTCCTTCCTCCTCCTCCCTCCTCCTCCTCCTCCTCCTCTCCTCAATCATCATCATCATCATCACATCATCATCATCATCATCATCATCAGCATCATCATCATCATCATCATCATCAGCAGCAGCAGCATCAGCAGCAGCATCATCATCATCATCATCATCAGCATCATCATCATCATCATCATCATCAGCAGCATCATCATCATCATCACCATCATCAACATCATATTCATCATCATCATCATCATCCTCATCCTCATCCTCATCCTCATCATCATCATCATCATCATCATCCCTCCCTCCTCCTCCTCCTCCTTCTCCTCCTCCTCCTCCTCCTCCTCCTCCTGCTCCTCATCCTGCTCCTCATGCTGTTCATCCTCCTCATCATGCGCCTCCTCCTCCGCCTCCACCTCCTCCTCCTCTTCCTCATCCTCCTCCGCCCTCCTCTCTCCTCCTTTCTCCTCCCTGCCGCCTCCCTCCTCATCCTCCCTCTTCCCTCCTCACTCCTCCCTCCTCCCTCCTCCCTCCTCGCTCCTCCCTCCTCCCTCCTCCCTTCTTCCCTCCTCCCTCCTCCCTCCTCATCCTCCTCGTCCTCCTCACTCATCCCTCCTCCCTCCTCCCTCCTCTCTCCTCCCTCCTCCCTCCCTCCCTTCTCCCTCTCCCTCCTCCCTCCTCCTCCTCCTCCTCCTCCCCATCCCCCTCCTCCTCCTCCTCCTCCTCCTCCTCCTCCTCCTCCTCTTCCTCCTCCTGCTCCTCCTTCCTCCTCCTCCTCATCCGCCTCCTCCTCCTCCTCCCCCTCCTCCGCCTCCTCCTCGTCCTCCTCCCTCCTCCTCCTCTCCTCCTCCTCCTCCTCCTCCTCCTCCTCCTCCTCCTCCCATCCTCCTCCTCATCCTCCTCCGCTCCTCCTCCTCCTCCTTCTCGTCCTCCTCCTCCGCCCCCATCCCCTCCTCATCAGCATCACATCCTCCCTCCTCCTCCTCCTGCTCCGCCTCCTCTATCCTCCCCCTTCCTCTCCTCCTCCTCCTCCTCCTCCTCCTCCTCTCTTCCTCCCTCCTCTCCTGCCAATTTCCTCCTCCTCATCCGCCTCCTTGTCCTCCTCCTCCTCCCTCTCCTCCTCCTCCTCCTCCTTCCCGCTCCTCCTCCTCCTCAACTCCTCCTCCTCCTCATCCTCCTCTCCTCCTCCTCCGCCCTCCTCATCGCTGATCCCTCCCCCCTCCTCCCTTCTCCCTTCTCCTCCTCCCTCCTCCCTCCACAATTACTCAATATGAAAATACCCTTCATCTTCCCCTGATGGCGTCCGGGTGATGGCCGCGCATTCTCCGCGTACTGTTTTTTACACACAGGATGCCCGGGAAATCCCGGGAAACGACTCTCGCTAAGGCGCCGGCGTCATTTTCGGGCCGAACGCCCCTCGCGTACTGTTTTTTTACACAGGATTCCCGGGAAACGGGTTTTTGCCTGCGTTTTTTGTATGATGCTCTCGCTGAGGCGCCGGCCTCATTTCTGCTCCCGAATCGTTCCGAATCGTACTCCCGCTGCAGCGTGGGCCTCATTTTCGGATCGGTGTTT